GGGGGGGGGCGCCAATTAACGGCGGTTAATTAACAAGGGGCGCTAATTAATGGCACTTAATCACTGAGGGGGCGCTAATTAACGGCGGTTAATCCCTGATGGGCGCTAATTAGTGCTGTTTAATCACCGAGGGGCGCTAATTAATGGCGGTTAATCCCCGAGGGGCGCTAATTATTGGCGGTCAACAGAGGGTTCTAATTAGCGGTGGTTAATTAACGAGGGACGCTAATTAACAGTGTTTAATCACCGAGGGGCGCGTTAATTACCGAGGGGGCGCTAATTAACAGCGTTTAATCACTGAGGGTCGCCAATTAGTGGCAGTTAATCTCTGAGGGACGCTAATTAACGGTGTTTACCCACCCAGGGCCGCTAATTAGCAGTGGTTAATCGCTGAGGGGGCATTAATTAGTGTTGGTCAATTAACGAGGGGCGCTAATTAACGGTGTTTAACCACCGAGGGGCGCCAGTTAGCGGCAGTTAGCCACCGAGGGGCGCTAATTAGTGGGGGTTAATTAACGAGTAGTGCTAATTAGCGGGGGTTAATTAAGGAGAGGCGTTAATTAGTGCAGATTAATTAAGGAGAGGCATTAATTAGTGCAGGTTAATTAAGGAGAGACGTTAATTAGCACGGGTTAATTAAGGAGGGACGTTAATTTAGTGCGGGTTAATTAACGAGGGGCGCCAGTTAGCGGCAGTTAACCACCGAGGAGCGCTAATTAGTGGGGGTTAATTAATGAGTAGTGCTAATTAGTGGGGGTTAATTAAGGAGGGGTGTTAATAAGTGCGGGTTAATTAACGAGGGACGCTAATTAACGGTGTTTAACCACCGAGGGGAGCCAGTTAGTGGGGGTTAATTAAGGAGGAGCGCCTATTAGTGGGGGTTAATTAAGCAGAGGCGTTAATTAGCGGGGGTTAATTAAGGAGGAGTGTTAATTAGCGGGGGTTAATTAAGGAGGGGCGCTAATTAACGTTGTTTAACCACCGAGGGGCGCTATTTAGCAGGGGTTAATTAAGCAGAGGCGTTAATTAGCGTTGGTTAATTAAGCAGAGGCGCTAATTAGCGTGGGTTAATTAAGGAGGGGCGCTAATTAGCGGGGTTTAATTAAGGAGGGGCGCTATTTAGCGGGGGTTAACTAAGCAGAGGCGTTAATTAGCAGGGGTTAATTAAGGAGGGGCATTAATTAGCAGGGGTTAATTAAGGAGGGGCACTAATTAGCGGGGGTTAATTATGGAGGGGCGCTAATTAGCGTGGGTTAATTAAGGAGGGGCGTTAATTAGTGTCAGTTAATTAACGAGGGGCGCTAATTAGCGGGGGTTAATTAAGGAGGGGCGCTAATTAGCGTGGGTTAATTAAGCAGAGGCGCTAATTAGCGTGGGTTAATTAAGGAGGGGCGCTAATGAGCGTCGGTTAATTAAGGAGGGGCGCTAATTACCCACCGGTGATGGGCGGTTTCTTGTACTGGGCGCTCTTGAGGTGCTCCTCCACCAGCTTGGGGGTGACGCAGATCACGTGCTGCCCCTTCCAGTACTTGACCATGTTCAGGGACTGCAGCGTGCTGATGATGTCGGTCTGGGTAATGCTCGTCATCTGGCTGAGTAACCATGGAGTAAACCCTGAGTAACCTGTGAGTAACCTGTGAGTAACCCCTGACCCATCACTGACCCATCACTGACCCACCCCGAGTCACTGACAGTGCCGTGTTCAGCGACTGCAGCGTGCTGATGATGTCGGTCTGCGTGATGCTGGTCATCTGGCTGAGTAAAGTGTGAGTAACCTGTGAGTAACCCCTGAGTAACGTGTGAGTAACCTGTGAGTAACCTCTGAGTAACCCCTGACCCACCCCGAGTCACTGACAGTGCCGTGTTCAGAGACTGCAGCGTGCTGATGATGTCGGTCTGGGTAATGCTCGTCATCTGGCTGAGTAACGTGTGAGTAACCCCTGAGTAACCTCTGAGTAACCCCGGAGTGACCCCTGAGTGACCCCAAGTGACCCCTGAGTGACCCCTGAGTGACCCCTGACCCCTGAGTGACCCCTGAGTGACCCCTGAGTGACCCCTGAGTGACCCCTGAGTGACCCCAAGTGACCCCTGAGTGACCCCTCAGTGACCCCTGAGTGACCCCTGACCACTTCCAGCCCACAGTGCCCCACACTGCCTTTATCCACACTGGTCTATACTGGTTTGAACTGGTTTGAACTGGTTTGAACTGGTTTGAACTGGTCTAGACTGGTTTGAACTGGTTTGAACTGGTTTCTATGGATTTCCATGGATTTCTACGGGGATTTTTGGCTCTGAACTGGTTTGAACTGGTTTGAACTGGTCTGAACTGGTCTGAACTGGTCCCACCTGAGGTCCTTGATGGAGAGGGTCCCCCGGAAGTCCCTGAGGAACCAGGGGGGGGTCACTGGTCTATACTGGTCTATACTGGTCTATACTGGTCTATACTGGTTTATACTGGTTTATACTGGTTTCTATGGATTTCCATGGATTTCTATGGGGATTTTTGGCTCTGAACTGGTTTGAACTGGTCCGAACTGGTTTTTACTGGTCCCACCTGAGGTCCTTGATGGAGAGGGTCCCCCGGAAGTCCCTGAGGATCTCCAGCAGCACCCAGGACCAGTAGCTGCGGTAGCTGAGCTTGCCCAGGTCCGAGAGCGGCTTCTCGGGGGAGCCCACGGTGCTCTCCAGCTTGGACAGCTCGTAGCCTGAAAATTCCCAAAGAATTCCCAAAAATCCCCCAAAATCCACAGAATCCCCCCCAAAAATCCCAGCGGGAATCCCGGGGGGGGGCGGGGAATTCCCAGGGAAGTTTCTGGAATCAGGGAGGGGAAATGGTGAAATTTGTCAGGGGATTTGTCCCGAATTTATTCGGAATTTATCCCAAATTCATCCTAAATTCAGCCAAATTTATCCCAAATTTATCCCAAATTCATCCTAAATTCAGCCAAAATTCATCCCAAATTTATCCCAAATTCATCCCAAATCCATCCCAAATCAATCCCAAATTTATCCCAAATTTGTCCCAAATTCATCCTAAATTCAACCAAAATTTATCCCAAATTCATCACAAAATTCATCCCAAATTTATCCCAAATTTATCCCAAATTTATCCCAAATTCATCCCAAATTTATCTCAAATCCATCCCAAATTTATCCCAAATTTATCCCACATTCATCCTAAATTCAGCCAAAATTCATCCCAAATTTATCCCAAATTCATCCTAAATTCAGCCCAAATTCATCCCAAATTTATCCCAAATTCAGCCAAAATTCATTCAAAGTTTTTCCCCCATTTTTTCCACAATTTTCCCCCACAATTTTCCCCCCTTTTTTCCTTCTTTTTTTCCCCATTTCTTTCCCCAATTTCCCCATTTTTCCCCCAATTTTTTCTCCTTTTTTTCCTCATTTCTTCATCAATTTCCCCCCATTTTTTCCCCATTTTTCACCCATTTTTTCCCAATTTTTCCCCAATTTCCCCCCATTTTTTCCCTGAATTTTTCCTCATTTTTTCCCCATTTTTTCCCCAATTTTCCCCATTTTTTCCCCATTTTTCCCCCAATTTTTCCCCAAATTTCCCCCATTTTTCCCCCAATTTTTCCCCAATTTTTCCCCATTCCTTCCCCCAATTTTCCCCATTTTCCCCCCAATTTCCCGCCATCTTTTTCCCCATTTTTCCCCTATTTTTCCCCATTTTTTCCCCAATTTTTCCCCAATTTTTCCCCATTTTTTCCCCATTTTTCCCCATTTTCCCCCCATTCTTTCCCCATTTTTCCCCCTTTTTCCCCCAATTTTTCCCCAAATTTTTCCCAATTTTCCCCCATTTTTTCCCACTTTTCCCCACATTTCCCCCATTTTTCTCCCAATTTTTCCCCAATTTTCCCCCATTTCCCCCCAATTTTTCCCCCATTTTTTCCCATTTTTTCCCTGAATTTTTCCCCATTTTTTCCCCATTTTTTCCCCATTTTCCCCCCATTTTTTCCCCCAATTTTTCCCCATTTTTGCCCCAATTTTCCCCCATTTTTCCCCATTTTCCCCCATTTTTCCCCCATTTTTTTCCCCATTTTTTCCCCAATTTCCCCCCATTATTTTCCCCCCATTTTTCCCCCATTTTTTCCCCATTTTTCCCCCATTTTTTCCCATTTTTTCCCTGAATTTTTTCCCATTTTTTCCCAATTTTTTCCCCAAATTTCCCCCATTTCCCCCCAATGTTTCCCCCCTTTTTCCCCCAATTTTTCCCTGAATTTTTCCCCATTTTCCCCCATTATTCCCCATTTTCCCCCCGTGTTTCCGGCAGGTTCCGGAAGGTTCCGGCGCTCACTGAAGGCGATGAGGAATTTCCCGTAGCCACAGGGACAGGAATTTTCCCCCAATTTTTCCCCAATTTTTCCCTGAATTTTTCCCCATTTTTTTTCCCCATTTCCCCCCATTTTTCCCCATTTCCCCCCGTGTTTCCGGAAGGTTCCGGCGCTCACTCAAGGCGATGAGGAATTTCCCGTAGCCGCAGGGACAGGAATTTTTCCCCAATTTCCCCCATTTTTTCCCCCATTTTTTCCCTGAATTTTTCCCCATTTTTCTCCCATTTTTTCCCAATTTTTCCCCAAGTTTTCCCTGAATTTTCCCCCATTTTTTCCCATTTTTTCCCATTTTTCCCCCATTTTTTTGGCGCTCACTGAAGGCGATGAGGAATTTCCCGTAGCCGCGCCGCTGGTACGGGGGCAGGGTGAGGATGCACGCCACGTTGTTCCCGTCCGGGGATTCCTTCTCCTGACCCCCCCCCCAAAAAAAACCGGGAATTCCGGGAGCTTCCGGAAAATTCCGCCACTTCCGGGAGGGGGAGGGGCGGGGGGGGAAAGAATCGGGGATTTTGGGGTTTTTTGGGGTTTTTTGGGGTTTTTTTAGGGATTTTTTGGGGTTTTTGTGGGGATATTTTTTTGGGACAGGTTTGTTCAGGTACCCCCAGGTGTCCCCAGGTGTGTCCCAGGTGCCCCCAGGTGTCCCCAGACCCCCCAGGTGTCCCCAGGTGTCCCCAGGTGTGTCCCAGGTGTTCCCCAGGTGTCCCAGGTGTCCCCAGGTGTATCTCAGGTGTCCCCAGCTACCCCAGGTGTCCCCCAGGTGTCCCCAGGTGTGTCCCAGACCCCCCAGGTGTGCCCAGGTGTGCTCACCTTGGAGAAGTAGCCCACGATGTGCGCCCCCTGCCGATCCACCTCGGTGAGCAGGTAGAACACGAAGGGCTCCACGTCGAAGTAGAGAGTCTTGTGATCCAGGAACAGCTTGGCCAGCAGGCACAGGTTCTGGCAATAGATCTGAGACACACCTGGGGTACAGCTGGGCACACCTGGGCACACCTGGGCACACCTGGCTACACCTGGGGTACAGCTACACACACCCCTGATACACCTGAACACACCTGGGGTACACCTGGATACACCTGGGTACACCTGGGGTACAGCTAAACACACCCCTGATACACCTGGGCACACCTGGGGTACAGCTGGGGTACACCTGGGGTACAGCTACACACACCCCTGATACACCTGAGCACACCCCTGATACACCTGAGCACACCTGGGGACACACCTGAGCAC